GGTAACAGTGCAGAGGAATCTACCATTTGTTTATTTCCTGTCCTTTGAATAAAACAAGTACTGTATTTCTAAGTTTATCCAAAACTAAGTTCACAGGCCAGTAATTGAGTCTCAATCCAGAGTCTTAATTACAGCTAACAATTACTTATGTATTTCAAAATTCCCTTGAGGTAAAATCAAGGAACTCTTCGCTCCTGGTGTGATTGATGGACATACATTGCTGGTGCTGGTGAATGTAATCTACTTCAAGGCATCCTGGGAACACAAGTTTGAGGAACAAAAAACAGTAGAGAAAGATTTTAAACTGAATCAGGTACATCTGCATTCTGTAAATCTTAACATTATTTACCCTAGATTCTGCAAACATTGCAGCAAGCATAACAACAGAATCATAGAATTTTAGGGGTTGGAATGGACCTTACAGATAATCAGGTCCCAACCCACTGCCATAGGCAAGGGCATGTCCCCACTAGACCAGGTTGCTCAAGGCCTCATCCAGCCTGGCTTTGAACACTGCCAGGGTTGGGGCATCTACTACCTCCCTGGGCAACTGTGCCAGTGTCTCACCACCCTCACAGTAAAATACTTTTTCCTAATATCTAACCTAAATTTCCCCTTTTTCAATGCCCAAGGCTCAGCTGCCCTGTGAGCAAGGTATGGGTGTGCTGGGAAATTAACCTGCCTCTTTTGCTGGGTAGAGGTGGTAGGAGGGTTTTTCACAAAACAAACAAACAAACAAAAAAAAGCATAATCTTTACTGGAGAAACTGTGCAAGACTCAGAATTTGCAACAACTCAGAGATTTGCTTTGGTAACTGGCAAAACACAAGTGTGAGCCCTAGGTAGCACTTTTTAACATAGTAATCATTACAGAGAATTGTCATGGATGGAAGCAAACCTGACCATCTCAGTTTGTATAAATTCCAAGGTGTCATCCTGGTGTTCATATGTTCATGTGTGTTTTATGTGTCACTGTAGAAGTAACAACAATTGCTGCTGAAACCCTGACTACTGCTATTACACTTATAATAAATTTAAATGTTACAAGCTTTATTGCTGAAGTGACTGTATAATTTTCTTTTCGATAGAACAAAAGAAAACCTGTGCAGATGATGTATCAGAAAGGCAAATTTAAACTAGGCTACATTGAGGAGGTGGGTGCCCAGATCCTTGAACTGCCTTATGCTCAGAAGTCACTGAGCATGGTCATCCTGCTGCCAGGTGACACAGCTGATGGATCTGTCAGTGGGCTGGAGCAGGTAAGGCAGTATATATCATGTACTGGGGCTGAAAGTTAGTTGTCTGAAGTAACACTGGTTAAAGATCTAAACTTTCAAAGCTGCCCACCTATTTTAAACACTTCTTTTTCCACCATCTTATAGATTGAAAGCACAGTGACCTCTGAAAATTTGATGCTGTGGGCCTCTTCAGAGCAGATGTTTGAGTCAACAGTGGAGGTCTACCTTCCTCGATTCAAGCTTGAAGACACATTTAACCTCAATGAGGTATTACAAGAGATGGGAATGACTGACATCTTCACTGAATCAAAAGTTGACCTCTCTGCAATGTCATTTGCAAAATCTCTGGTGCTGTCAAATGTTGTCCATAAGACATATATGGAAGTCAATGAGGAAGGCACTGAAGCAGCAGCTGGTACAGGAGCTAGCATTGTGAGGAGGTCTATGCCTCTCACAGAGGTGTTTATGGCTGATCATCCGTTCTTATTCTTTATTAGACACAATCCCACTAGTACTATTATTTTCTTTGGCAAACTCTGTTCACCTTAAAATCAGGGCCATTTTCTAACATTGTGAGGAACACCTGGATGAAAATCAGAAATGGTACTTTTTTCCCCAATGCATTCCTAATCCTATGACAGCTAATTTGTACTTCAAAGTGATCACTGCAACCAGCTTTGTTTAGAATCTATCAATTGGATGCTCTGCCACTAGGCTCCTTGAATTGTAAATATTGATCTGAATCCAGAATAGGAGTAAATTTTACCTTAACTTCACTGGATAGGAATTGCAGTTTGTTTCTTTGATGCACACATATGCTTCTGTATTCCTGCATTCATATGCAGTCCTGTGTATTAATGATGGTGACGATAGGGTTGAGGTGGGAAGAGACCTCTGGAGATCATCTGGTTCACCTCCCCTGCTGCACAAGCAGGGCCACCTATACAGCTGGTTGCCCAGGACCATGTCCAGATGGCTTTTGGATATCTCCAAAGATGGAGACTCCACCACCACTCTAGACAACCTCCTCAAAGCACCTCCCAAGTTCTCAAACATTCCAAAGAGAATTTTGTATGCACAGTGTCTGCAGGAACAGGATACCAAATCGTGTATTTCTAAAGATGGTTAATTATTTACGTAGTAAAGAAGGCTGCCTCTTATATGGAGATAAATCAAATTATTTCAGCCTCAAAGAATGGGAAGAAAATGGTCTCAAGCACTCCATTGAAGTTACTGATGTGGAAAACTGTAGCAATGGACTTCCAAGAAATGTGTTTTCCTCCTCCCATGCTGCTGTGTGGTGAATTTTAATGATCTGACATGGAGATCTGGAAGACAGGGCTCTCACCATGCTTTGAAAAATGAAGAAGTGTTTTGTAAAGGGCAGTATAAGCCATAGAAATCACAGTTAAATATCACCTGGGAATGTTTGTGGGAAAACCAATAAAATTTCTTGCTGACTGATAGGGAGACATTATTGCTATTCTTCTGATTTAACATCTTTCTTGGAGAGATTCTGCATGAGATTTAATAAATTAACATTTGCAACATTCTTTTTGACCCATGAAAGGGAAAATATACATTAGCTGTTCACCACACACCCTCATGTTCTGCATTCACAATTACCATAGCTTATGCACCATGAGTTACCTGGGGCCATTGGACAAGAAAGTCTAGGAAATGAGTGAATGATAACTGAGCAGGAACAGACAGGAACAGGACAATAAAAGAGTCAAATAAGCAAACTACTACTCTTTGCTGTCTAATCTGAAGGTGCAGTACAGCTGCAGCAGGAGTTCTGCAGGCTGTGTCCCATGTTTCCTTTCTGGAGGGTAGCAGCCCAGTTTGCCTGTTAGGCATTGCTTTTGTTACCTAAAGCTGTCATCATCCAGTGTTTACATGCTCTGGGGAAGTTCTGAGCACTGCAATCTCAAAAATCAGCAATGTTTTTGGAAATGCAGGGACAGGGATTCCAGTGATGAAGTGGCAAATGCCACAGGGAAAAACCCCTTCCACTTATTTCCATCTTTACTCAGAAATGAGTATACAGTCCCTGGCACCCAGCATATCCTTTTTTGACACCCTGGAGTTAAAACAGGAGTTTGTGACAATGCTGTGGGTTAGCAAGGGGACAGATCTGCACTTGTTCGCAACGAAGAATGCAGGAGCTTAATCCTGAAAGTGAAAGAAATAGAGGAGAATGTTTGCAGTAAAAGCCTTCATTTAGCACTGGCTCAGCTCAGCTGGGCCATTCTTGTGCTGCCAGAGCATGAGAGCCATGAAGATGAGTGATGAACCCTGCATCCCTGGTGTCTGGGACATTTTGGGTACATGCAAGAGCAGCAGTTTTGCTACTGCAACAACATCATGAACTATGACAAGAAGGCTAAAGCCATGAAGGAAGAAACAAATGTCTATGCAACACAGGGTTTATTTCGCCTCAGTGCAAACTCTACCAAAGGCAGTGCTCTCTCTGCAAATCCCCATCCATGCAAACAGTGTTCAATGCCTCTTCTCTCCCCACAGATTGCAGGGGAACAGGCATCTCCTTTGGAAATGGCAAGGTTCAGATGTATTTGCTGCTTTGTCCTGAGCCCCCAGGGTTAGGCTAGATGGTCTTTAAAGGTCCCTTTTGACCCAAACCTTGTCCTGTGGTTCTGTGTCTTGCACTCTGGGTAGCTCCACTGAGCTCCAATCAGCTACTGATTTACAGTTGGTCAAACTGTTTTATAGCCACAGTGTTGTATCACACAATATCTGAGTTGGTTAAAAAAGGAAGAATTATTAGGTATTGTGTCTTAGACACAAAACATACAGGCACATTTTAAAATCACAAGTTCTCCTGACTTTAATATCCCATGTTATTGAACTTTGTAGGATCTGCTGTGCTTTCCTCTTTCTCTCTGGAACTGGGAGTGGATGAAACTCAGCTCTGATTGGAATAGTGGTTATTGGCAAAATATAGAGCTTTTAAGCTATAAGGTGAAGAAATACTGCACATAGGCTGAGACTGGGTTTAGACATGATTGGTGTTGAAAGTTCCACTTTCACAGTATCACTTTTAATGTTTAGGCTCAGTCTGAGGTAACTTTGCATGTGGTTTCATCTTGGTGCGAGGCAAACCGTGGCAGTAGAAATTTACAGAAAAAGTCTCTGCTGCTCCTCTGGAAATCTGGCACAGTGCATTTGGGATGCACAGTGTTTCAGCTTTCCTCTCCAACTTGTGGGGCTGCAGCCCTTCTGACAGGATTCAGAAGCAGCTGTGGGTGCTCTGCCAGGTGGTGCTCATTGTCTCACTGAACTGGCAATCATGCATTCCCTGGTATCAGCTAAGGGAAGGGCCACAATTTGGCCTTTAAATCACAGAATCATTTGGTACCTTATGAGCAGTAAAGTGAAGTTACTGCACACAACTATTTGTATTATTCACTTATCTTCGAAGAGAGTTAAACTTTACTCTAGAAACCAATTCAACATGTATTTCAAATCTAATAAAGACAGCATAATTACATTTCCAGATGAGTCAAAGCCCTCAGAGGTACTGCTGTGGAAAACTTAAACAGTGATTTTAGTCTTAGGCAAAGCTTTAACCCAAAGGCTAAAAAACAGACCATAAAAGGTTCAACTGGTACACTTCAAGAGGCTACTTAGCAGGATTTATTAGACCTGTTATTTCCTATTATTCTTATTAGTTGTCCTGTGAACTTCTCAGAATTTGGCTCTTAGTCATTTTTTGGTTTAGCCTTGGTGTTATGGACTGCTAAAGACTAATCTATTTAGACAGAAACCCAGATGTAATTCCTTCTGATCTTAAGCCTAAAGACAGCAGTATCATTAGTAAAAATATTAACAGTAATCAAATGATGTTTAAAAACAATCCTGTCACTGATATCTTACAAATATTCTTATCACCCCAACCATACAAAAGTCTTACACATCATAAGACTTCTAATTTCCAGTCTCCCTTACAGTATTTTATTAATTTTCCATCACCTTTTGTATGGACCATCCATCCCAGATTTCCAACAAGCACATGGAAAGGCCAGATCACTTTCTGGGATGGTTTCAGAAAATCATCCAGAAGTAATGCTTTGATTTCACTTATTTTTTTAACTTTCATGATATGCCATGTTTTATTCCATCATCCCAGTAGAGTCCACTTAGCAGGGTAAATGTATAGCAGCACCAATCTATATTCAGATAATGCTGTTACCCTTGAACAGCAAGGGAGGACACATACAATATGACTGAAAGCTATCTGGGAACAGTGCTACTAGTCAGCATCTTCTGACTAAGACCCACACAAGGTATTGTAAACAGACTATCAGGACTAAAATTCAAGATTCAGCCACAATATGATATGCAATATAAATTGTACCTAACCTATTAAATTTATTGATTGTCAATATAAATAGGCTGAATTTTATTCAGTTATAATTTATTAATGTTAATTATAACAATGTAATATTTATTACAATAGAAGATTACCACACACCAAAGGCTGATCTTGACTGACAGTAATGTAAGAAGCATCGTGACTTCTGTACTCTACTGTTCTAGTGCTGTTCTAGTCCAGCTGTACAGTCAGTCACACAGTAATGGCATCAGGATAACCTAAGCATTTAATTTCCATATTTATTAAAAAATTGTCTCTTAGTAAATCCTTGATTTTATTTTCTTGTTAAAGTGTGCCAATTTTCTATATGGAATTATAACCACTTCACCATAGTATTCATAGGCTTTATAAAAACCAGATTCAGAAGTCACAACTCCTAACTGTATTTTTTTTTGGCATATGTAATGGAGAATCAGTGAATAACATGTTTAATGCACGGATTTATAGGTGGCTTCAGAAATGGGAAGATGCACTGAAATAATGATGTGTCTCTGGTAAACAGAACACAGGCTGACTTTAAGCTCGTGCATCCAAAAAGCCATCTGAAAGAAAAATTGTCTCATCCAAAAATTGTAGGCATTTTGTTTTTACCTTTTGTAATTCTCTAGCAGCTAGCATTTTTCTCTGCTTGCTCTGAAGTGCCCTGATGTGAGCAATGAAGTGCTTTGCCCATGTTGAAACTCAGGAGCAAGGTAGAATGAGGCAAAAATCCCCAGAGACCATCTAGTGAATGGATTCAAAGCAGACCTTGTGCAAGTTATTAAAATAGGGGTCCTGGAAAATGCATTACAGTGACTTCATTTTTTAAAAATTGAAAATAGTACTTAATTTCTGTAGTGGAGAAATTAATGGGCTCAGGAGGTGAAGGGCCTGTATCCCATACCCTCACTGGAATGCAGGTCACTAGAGAATGCACCAAACGCTGCCAGGCACTAGGTTTTAGCACAGGCTGTATAGCAAAACCACCCACCTTCCTCTTGAAGCCCTTACATGTATGCAGCTTAATGGCACAAGAAGAGAACTCAAGGATTGATAACTTTGCAGTTCAATAGCTGTATTATAGGTGAGTTCTGTTTTCCAGTCTCTGTTTCCAGGGCTATTCCTGTTTTAGTCCAGTAACACAGAAGAAAAGTAGCTATATGTGGGTGTCTAT